GGAGTCCGAAGTGTAGGGGTATGACACACCTGTAAGCAGGAGTCTGGGGTGTAGTAGGGGTATGACACACCTGTAAGCAGGAGTCTGGAGTGTAGGGGTATAACACACCTGTAAGCAGGAGTCTGGAATGTAGGGGTATGACACACCTGTAAGCAGGAGTCTGGAGTGTAGGGGTAGGACACACCTGTAAGCAGGAGTCTGGAATGTAGGGGTATAACACACCTGTAAGCAGGAGTCTGGAGTGTAGGGGTATGACACACCTGTAAGCAGGAGTCTGGAGTGTAGGGGTATGACACACCTGTAAGCAGGAGTCTGGAGTCTAGTAGGGGTATGACACACCTGTAAGCAGGAGCCTGGAGTGTAGGGATATGACACACCTGTAAGCAGGAGTCTGGACTGTAGGGGTATGACACACCTGTAAGCAGGAGTCTGGATTGTAGGGGTATGACACACCTGTAAGCAGGAGTCTGGATTGTAGGGGTATGACACACCTGTAAGCAGGAGTCTGGAGTGTAGGGGTATGACACACCTGTAAGCAGGAGTCCGAAGTGTAGGGGTATGACACACCAGTAAGCAGGAGTCTGGATTGTAGGGGTATGACACACCTGTAAGCAGGAGTCTGGAGTGTAGGGGTATAACACACCTGTAAGCAGGAGTCTGGAATGTAGGGGTATGACACACCTGTAAGCAGGAGTCTGGAGTGTAGGGGTAGGACACACCTGTAAGCAGGAGCCTGGAATGTAGGGGTATGACACACCTGTAAGCAGGAGTCTGGACTGTAGGGGTATGACACACCTGTAAGCAGGAGTCTGGAGTGTAGGGGTATGACACACCTGTAAGCAGGAGTCTGGACTGTAGGGGTATGACACACCTGTAAGCAGGAGTCTGGGGTGTAGGGGTATGACACACCTGTAAGCAGGAGTCTGGAGTGTAGGGGTATGACACACTTGTAAGCAGGAGTCTGGAGTCTAGTAGGGGTATGACACACCTGTAAGCAGGAGTCTGGAGTGTAGTAGGGGTATTACACACCTGTAAGCAGGAGTCTGGAGTGTAGTAGGGGTATAACACACCTGTAAGCAGGAGTCTGGAGTGTAGTAGGGGTATGACACACCTGTTCACAGGAGTCTGGAGTGTAGGGGTATAACACACCTGTAGGCAGGAGTCTGGAGTGTAGGGGCGTAACACACCTGTAAGCAGATGTTCGATATATTGAGAGGTTAGAGCTGGACACTGTAGAACAATACTAAGTCATCATGCCATCCTATCAGCTATAAATTGTAAAATTCATTCAGTGAATTTACCTTCATATACCTGAAATGTCGTTTATTCTTTTAATTAGTTTTATCGTATTGTTTAATTAGCTTTATCATATTGTTTTAATTAGCTTTATCGTATTGTTTTAATTAGCTTTATCGTATTGTTTTAATTAGCTTTATCGTATTGTTAAATTAGCTTTATCGTACTGTTTTAATTAGCTTCCCGTCAATTTTAATCGACATATTTCATTGTTGTTGCTATCGTAACCTTTGTGTACCGTTGTTTCATATTTTTTAATGCTGAAATACGATAGTGACGGAAATGTTTTAAGATAAAATACAGCTCCTAGTATCATTTGTTTGAAGGATAACACGTAATTAGGTATACTAAGATATGTTCTATAGAGTATGAAGACATTGGCATTTCATTAAATATTCATGATAATGCCAAGACAAACATATCTGTTAAACATTCATCGATAATGTACTACATTGGATACAGTGTCGTTTTTTTCAGTTCTTGTTTTAATTACAATATATGAAATTGTTTAAGTAATAAAACACTTACTACAACTTTATTCTTTATTCCAGATATCTACCACTGTTATAGACCTTTGTAGTTGTTTTCGTTACATTTTATCATAGGAAACAAAAGGAAGTATATTCTCAGTTGTTGAGCAATTCTGTCGATAATCGACAATATATCCATATACAGCGTATAATGATATTGAACTCTAAAAGCGATATGTATATATATTTTATCCTTGAAACTTCATTTACTTTACCGCTTTAACAAAATTGTGTATAAATAAGTAATATTAACGATAATTTCAAAGTATTTACCAGAAATTCATTGTCTTAAATAACACATCGAGAAACGATTATCCATCTTTGAAATATCTTGATATTTCTTGGTGTAAAATGGTTTGTTCATTGGTATTTGCGACTGGTTCTTTCTTTTTCAATAACGATTGCGATTTTTTAAACAATAAATTCTTACAAATAAATGTAAGTTAGTTTATCATATGACACGTCGTAAGTTGCAGAACAAAATGCAACTTCATCCAGCTTATGCCGTTACAGTGAGTGATACGAGTGATTAGTGGTATTCTTTTGTTTAACACTAGACAAAGAATCACTTTAATTGTACCTTTTGTCTCTACAAATCTAACTGAACTATGATGGTTTTATACAAAGGAACAAGGTGTATTAGATTATTGTCGTAGAGATTAAAAAAAAAACTTGCTATCTGTACAATCAGCATTTCTTGTTAAACTCAAAACTACTTCAATAGAAAAAAAATACTGACATTTATAAGACTATGAATACCAATGTCATGTATTGAACAATGTTTAAATCTAAATATCATTTGACACATATGGCAACAGCCATACTGTAAATGCCACATCGGTGTCTCTTTAATTAAAATCAAACATCTACGTCACATAGCTCTTTAATTGCTTATTAAACGGATTAGCACCAACCTCTATAATGTTTAACATCTGGCAACAGATAAGGAACATAATATATAGAAAACATACTCAATAAGATTTATTATAATAAAAGGGACTTAATTCATGGTAAAACGACTTTTTTAAAGTTTTTGTATCATTATTGTTGCACATATGTATCAGGTGTATCACCTTGTGAACAATAATGGTGGTTTTCACTGAATTATGCACACAAGCATGTTAATAATAATAACAAGAAAATCTCTCGTCGTTATTCAACATTCTGAAATCATATTTTGCCCGTCATATTCATGTATGATAATGCATGTGCCTAACATACAACATCAGCAGGATCGGTTTGCACGTGAATCGGTCGTGGGTCGGAAACTATGGTAACAAAAAGATGGCCAAATCTGTAAATGAACAGAAGAAAATTTCACTGGGGAAGTCGAAGCTTACCATGACATTTGAGAATTTAACAGACGGGAAAACAACCAGGATGGTACAATATGTACTTGTATTCTGTTGGATTGACTGACAAAATAGTGATATCAACGACTATATACAATATACATATATAACACGCCTGTATTATTACCATGTACAAAAATTACCATGTACAAAAATCATCGTGTAGTGGTGTCGTCTATCATACAATTAGTCGCAGTTTTACATGATCATTGGCTCTGCAATGATAGACACAGCCAATTTCACAACCGTTAATTGTTGAGTATGTTGTAGACAACCACTATTAATTAACTAATTAATTTCATTAGTTGTTGAATATGAGTTATATGTACCAGTTGCAGTTTTGTTGTGAATTATCTTCCAATACAAGTTAAGATTCTCTAATAAATAAATGAATAAATAAACACCCACACATACACACAATCACACCCACACCCACATCCACCCCATGATTTGTAATAAATTTCTTTAAGATAATTCTGCAAAAATTATTATTCCCATTACAAAAGGAATAATGAAAAACCACAAAGAGATATTTCAATTTCTTCAAATATTTCAATAAATACGAAAATACTAATTCTGTAAAAGTTAACTAACATTATCATTTAAGATAATTAAATGATATTTCAAATACTCACTATTTTATAATGTATATTTGCCACCACAGTCGTCCGTACGTAGCTACATATAATTGCGACTGTCCATGTCTCTGTCCAGCGCGTGAATAACGATACAGAACTACAGGTGCACGAACAAGCATGTAATCACGTGACAAGACATTTACATAACAAAACACAGGTGAGAAATTCTTAGAACATACACTGACAAAACAAACCGGTTGGACAAGTACATTTATAAAAATATATATAAATAGATAAAAGTAAAATTGACACTGCCACAGTTGTATAATGAAATATCTGTCCAACAAGGTTATAACTAACATTTTATTGGCTCTTTAACTTAATTTCCTTCTTAATTTTTCTTTTATTTATTGTTAAGAGACGTTTGCCAATGTTTTGGCAAAAATCGTTCGAAGTGGGTTCAGTGCAGAAGTATAATTTTATGTTACTCCCCCTCTATAGATTTCCCCAAGCCTTTAGCGTCACCGACGAGTACTAGTATTCATTGATTGGCTCAACTATATCTAATTATAATTCTTAATTGGAAACGGCTATCCATTTGTGTGTGTTTTGTACACTTGTTGTAAGCCTAGTTACACGGGTACGAAAATCACCACTAAAACCTGATTTTAGGCTGATGGCAGAACGTGCTGTGGTTACCATCTAGAGGAACCTGTCCAGGGAGTTATCACCTCATGCATAAACTGCTGATGGAAAACCTGCTGCTAATGGACAATGATGTGACATTATTTTTATTTACTTCTGCAAGAAAACTCTCGGGAGATGGAGCGTCAACGCGAAGAATATTTTGGTCTTCGTTTTAAAACCTTTTTTTTCTAAATTGTTTCACTATATTTGAAATGTGTTTTTTCAGTGATTAATTTCTGTTATTTGGAAATTGTATAACATTTTATATTTTTCATCTTTTCTCTCTTTGTCACGTTTCACGATTTTGCATGGATTATTCATATATGCCCAAAACCAATTTCCGTTTGGTGCTGGTCTATTTTTGTGATTTCTGCTACGAATTTGAATTGACAATACGATACGCTTAATATGGCTTTGAAAGTCAATTTTTAAATATGAATTCTCAAGCGAATGGATCAGGAAAAATGCATTTATAATCTGTATGTCGGATCATATACAGGTGCATCGCGAAGAATTCCTTCGAAGTTCAAAGATACATTTATAAACGTACCCGACAGCCACTTAAAGATGAAAAACCCGTAATCAAGTTGGACGTTTACTCTTTTTTTTATTTCAAAACAAGACCAAACAAACACAAGAGGAAATGCTTACAAATTTGTATTATAGATCACAGACAAAGCCTTGTAGTTGTAGAACTAATTGTTCAGTAAAGATACAATTATAACAGATCTGCATTCTAACGCTTTTTACACTGACATGCAAGCACAACGCAAAGCATTATGGGTAATTTGGCTCTCCCTTCTATTCGACACACTCAGGGAAGATACTGGTTGTCGACCATTTATTATTAATATTAATATATTAATTCAGATATATTCATTTTAACAATACTTTCCCGAATTAATCAGTCCTGCGAATAAAGTTTAGACTTGTAAAAACCCAAAGGTCTATTTCCGTAAAGGTTAAGGTTTCCACATGTTACGGATATGTAACGTGATTTAAAATTCTAGGCATGACTTAAAACAATGTTATTTTAATAACTCCTTCAAATTAAGACAATTACGAAGCGAAAACCGTGATAATGTTTGATGATTGTTATCTGAATAAAAACGCCAAACTGACCCTGGCGACCGTGACACGGACGCCGTCAGATGTATTTTGTAGAGCGTTTCGCGCAGCACAGCAAGGTTCTTTGTTAGGAAATAAACCGCTGAAGGTTTACTTTCGTTTATCGATAAAATCGCTTGATATATCATAAACGAAAGTGATGTAATATTTGTCTTGCAAAATCACCACGAACAAAGCGCATGCATTATGGCACCGAATAAATCATGATAACTGGTGCATGTGCACAACGAGAATGTGCCCACAAGCAGTGTATCTATCAACACAGACGTTGTCCTGCAATCCTTAAATTGCCTGTATATGCGACCTTACATCAGACAAAGGGTGAACTTTCTAAAAAAAAAAAAAATCAAACTTGTCTAAAACTTAATATAACTGGCCTTAGTACCAAAAGTACACTAAATAATGATCCCGGTCAAACGTCCACTTCCTGCCTATTAATGTCACGTTGCGGTGTGACGCAGTTCTTCAGATCGACGCTTTCATTTTGACTGGAATTCCCTGTCCCGTAGTGACCGCTGTCTGATGTAGAGATTCTGCTGGTGCTGTCAGAAGATAGACTGCAGGACGATTCGGCTGTAGAAGCTGTAGGCGTTATGTTACTAAATCTCGAGGATGAACGGGGTCTATTTTGTACCTGCATTTCGATATCTCCCGGTAGAGACACTTGATCCTGGTCTTCTGTGAGTTCGAAGATAGTTTTTATCATTGTTTCTCTTTCATCGATAGAATGACGTCTTTCACTGGAATCATTTGAAGTCACTGAGAAAGGAAACATGTATCTGGGATAAACACTTGTGCAGTACAGGAAAACATTAAAAAACAAAGCTTCTCAAACTTCTGTATTAACTACATAATATAAGAAACCAAATATCCGGAAAAAGTAAATTATAATTAAATGAAAAAGGACACGGAATGAAATATCCGGAATTAACATGGTAAGGGAAATAACTCTTAAGGTACAATTAAACAATTAAAGTATTTTAATATATATTTAGCAAATAAACCATATCATATAGTTTGTATATAACACACTATGGTCTGAAGAATAAAGGTAAAACGATATAAAGTTCATTAGCTTAATAAAAAACTAAAACGTTTGTTGCATATCAATTGATACAAATGAATTCCATTTTGATGATGTAACAGCAATACCATAGATGCCTGTTTACCTGTGCTCTGTTGAGTGTTATTCTGTTCCAGGAGGATGCAGTCGGCCTTGTGGGATGGCTTAGGATCCTCTATAGGTTGAGTGATGATTGGCTCTATATCGGAGTCTGGTGAACTGTCGGTGGAATGTTCCATATGTCTACCCATGCCAGTACTTCCGTCGTCCATAAGTTTCGGTGAAAATTGACACTCCACATTACCTGACTGTTTGCTTGGTTGACAGAGCACTGTTAACAAAACGACAAACAAATGTATATGATAATATTTTCGATGTATGAAGTGTTTGAACATCATTTATTACCCTGAACACTTTGCTTTTGTAGGTTGATTTCGTCTTTTTTTTTTTATTTATGTTTTCTGTCGTATAAAAATATATCAATTTACAGAGCATTAAGACATGTCCTACTCACCCGTTGATTTGTCCTGTTTGTTTCCATGTCGAGGCAGCAGTGGTACTTCCTCTGTCGGAGGATTTGGTGACGTAGGCTCAACAGTTACTCCTTGAAGACCCCCATCTTCCCTAGTGTTACCATGTTTTACTGGATTTGATCTCTTCGTCTCCTGCATGCCTTCTGCATGATTCTTTCGGATCAATTCTCGCTTATAATTGCGTATCCTTACCAGTGAAACAGCAATGGATACTAAGCAGAGGACAACAATTAAAAACAGGATGCATATAGCTATCCATTGCCATTTATTGCTTTCTGAAACATAAACAAGAACCATGTTGAACATTTCTAAAGATTTCAAGAATAAGAGAAAATAGTGGATATGTTTTTTTGGGAAAAAAACTCATGCATTGGATATATACAACTGCATTTATTGTGGATTCTCGAAATGGAGTTGGGTATCGTTTCTATCTGATATTACCCGAACTACTTATTTTTGTTTGAAGCTTTAAATTATTACATTACCTAATTCCTTAATTCAAGGTTATTTTGTAACGTTAATAGTTGATAATGATAAAAATCATCGTCACTTGACACTATTTTCTGTACATCTGTTTAATATATGCACAGCGATCATTATCTTTAATCTCACCACACTGTAATACGAACCTATCAATGATGCAATGCTGTGTGATGATGTAAGATTCTCTTCCGCTTTGCCCTCCTGCAGTGCCCCTAAAAGTTGAAAAAATATATTTTCTTATATAATATTAGGTATATGGGTGTCTCAGCATAATCTCTTTCATTATTATCAAATGTTTTAATCAGATTTTATTTGTAACCCGTATGAGTTCTTAACTGTCGGCTCGTCCCTCGCCTTGTCTACGAAGAATATTGATTATCAATAATGAATGCATGTACGTGTTTAAGCATCTGTCATAAAGTGTTATATGTAGTTATTGTGTAATGTATTGTTGGTAGAAGGGCTAGTAAGTTGTGTGATCTGTAGTTATTGTGTACTGTAATGTTGGAGAGGGCCTAGTAAGTTGTGTTATCTGTAGTTATTGTATATTGTAATTTTGGGAGAGGGCTCTGTAAGTTGTGTGATCTGTAGTTATTGTGTATTATAATGTTGGGTGAGGGCTAAGTAAGTTGCAAGAACTTGAGCCCAATCCCTTTAATGTATACCTGTGTGTCTTTAGTACAAACTTTGAACGGATCCGTGTGACTTACCTTTCATCAAGTTTCCAGTACTGGTATCAGGGCCACCGCGCTCAAGTTCTGTAAGGACAATTGTCGGGTATTAATATTGTATTATATCATAACCGATATAGTGACGGAACAGAATTACACAGGGAAACACGCAGTAAACTTTGTAACACACTCTATCATACTGTATTTACAACAGCGTTACATAACATTATGTTCTTATCACAGTGAATTGTACAAACTTTACAAATCATTGTTGGAAATTGACTACAGCAATACACTTTATTATATTACTGACTTGCATATTATTAATTGATTACAACAAGAAATTGAACCATTTTGTAAATCAGGTACAAAACTAATATGATAAAGATATGAAAATAGACTGATACTTATACGGTTACACGTCACTGAGTGTTTATTATTGTAATGTACGACTGGTAACGTTGCCATTTGTGAATATTGCTTTATATCGGTCATTGAATATAAGTAATATAAATATGCATTGCGACATAACTTAATAAATTTCGAAAACCTACAATTTCATAGACCCTAAAAATAGCAACGTAAATTTCCGTGATATAAATTTGGAACCAATCCAATATACTAACGCAATATCATTACATTGCGTTGTCAATCGGATCACTAGGCTTGACCAGAACAAAATGTACCACAAATACAAAATGAGATCAATTTCTTCTTTACAACTTTTATCGATACCATTATTTGTATTTTAAGAGGAGGGTGTTAAAAACCATGGTGTGAATCAGCTTTGAAATGTTTATTTTTCCCATTAATTTTTCAACATTTTTCGTTATTATAACAAACGAGTGATAACCCCGATCAAAATGAAATTACTGGTTTTAAAGTACCGGTCACACTCACCCTTACACTGCGTATAGCATTGTGACGGTGTGTCCAAGGCGTTACACTCATCCTGGCTACACGCGTGACACGAAGGTCGTTGTCCCGTTATCACTCGACAATATTCAGCAGGAAACTTACAGAAGTCAAATCCACAGTTGAACCAGAAACCATCCGGCGGTAATTCCAAAACGGAAGAACATAGTGAAATGTAACATGAAAATAAAATGACGCATGTGACCGTGAGCTGAGCCATTTTACTTATGTCTCGTCAATATTGCAAGGGTCTATTTTTAGAATAATAGGTAATACCGTGTTTATAAATAGCCACAAGGAGTGTTAGGCATGTGATTGGTGTTGTGCAATATTTACCAGAAAAGATTTTATGAATGAGTAATGGTCTTCTGACCGGATAATTCGTTGTAGCATGCACATTTCTGATGAAATATTTCAATACAATACAATGACAACCCACACGCATGTAGTACACATATTACATGAACAGAAATAAGGTGTGGTGTTGATTGTGGACTTATAGTAACACAATAGAGACATTATGTATCATTATAACAGGTTTTATACAGGAAACTTGATATAATCTATAAGTAAATGATTAATCCATGATTAATTGCATTATTATGTAATACACTCGTATGTGTATTGTAACTTTTTTCATCTGTTTTAAATATCATCAAAGATTGAAAAAAATACAACACGAACATTTCTGCACCTGAATTGTCTATAGATGACGAGGCGTTGTTTGATAATACATATACAGCTTTTGATACGAAAAAAGTGACACTAATAACCATTGTTTCTGTTAAAGTCTCCTCTCAACCGTAAACATATTGTAAACAACATGCACGGCTTTGACCATGGTCAGATATACACACATCACGTGTAACAATCCTGATAACACATGATACATGTACACAGGTGAGATCGCTGAAAATTACCTGTCCCAAATAAAACGGCATTACCCTTACCTATAAATAGTCAAACCGGTTAAAAATAAACATTGTAAGTTGTGCCTGTGAATCACTTAAAGCATTAACGACATGGAACCAGTTATATGTTTATGTTTGCAGAAACACTTCCCGTACTTTGTTATGATTGTTTATCTATGCAAAGTACTCTTAACGGAAGCAGCTTTGCCGCTTGAAGGATTTGAATTTAACTGTGGACATGATGTTTGTGTGTTCCCTCGGGATTTCTGTAACATTCAAAAACAGCACTGTGAATCGTGTACAATAGATATATGCAATGAGCTCGGCGTCTCATCACAATGTAGTCAACGATGCAAAGGTGGGTACATTTAAAACTGAAGAGATTGATTTAAATTTGTATCAATGACAATGTCAACACACATTGGCACATGCAACTGTGTCAACAATACTTTTTTTCCGTGCATCTCATTCTGAAAGAGTTATCTCTCTTGCCATGTTGTTTACATTCATTCACACGCGTGTATTTTATTTGAATGGCGATAACTATACTGATAATATTGGAATGGAACAAAATATGTCTACACAAATTTATGAAACTAGCTTAGAATTATTAATTCTACCGAATCTCTGGCGAGGTAAAAGGAACGATTTCTGATCAGCCTCATGATTCTCACATGAAATTCAAATAAATATAGGATTCTATGAAACACAAATCTGATTCATCTCTGCAATTATTTATGAATTTGGAATTTTATTAGATAGATGGGAAGAAAACTCATCTGGCGATGTTCTCACTTTACATCTCTTTGTCTGGTGACGTTACAGTACATATGTCGCCATGAAGTTATGACGTCATAACGGAAAGAGTCGAATACCAACCAATCATTTAATCACTAGGTCATATTACCTGTGTGTCATTAAAAAACAGTCGTTGAAATTACGCGATTAACAGGCTAGTTAACACCAATGTATGTTTTCCATCATTACAGATTTGAAAGGGGAGGTAGATACGTCACCTGCGCAATCATTAGAATGGAGACACCAGCTGATGGGTGAGAGTTTGTTGTGCCATATAGTGATTACGAGCTCTGAAGATGACTTAATGCTGTATGCAGTACAAGAATATAAGAAATGAATATCTTCTCAATTACTAATCTAATTCTGATTATATATATTTTTTTATATATTTACATTACTGAGGTATAAAACAAAAAGGAATCAACTTTAAACAAACAACAAATATCGACATATTAAAGAATCTTGATGTTTGGTGACCTGTTTTATAAGCTATTTGATAAATTCAGCCTGGTATGACAAAAAGTGAGCCAACGAAGCTGTATCATCTGTTTGAAAATCTTATCACCAAACTCGATGAAGATATTCTCAACTCGATCAGTTTATGCATTCGTCCACAAAATATTTCTCTTTGACTGGGACACATTCTTTCAGTATAGTTAATCACCTTGAATTTGTAGTTCCGTACAACTTTCTTGAAAAAGAAAGTCTTGGGTCAGTGTATTAAGAGAGCGAATGTGTTCTTTCAGTTTAGAATGGCGCAAAATAGTTTTTGCCAAAATAAACTCCATTTTTCGTCTGATGACTGCAAAACACAAGATAAATTAAATTTAATCCATATAGTCTAATTTTGATAGAACTTTTCTTCGATAATCTCTTACACTAAACATTGGCCAATCAAATGTGACGTTACAAACTTGCAGCAAGTTTTAATGTTATGGAGTGATATATGTAACATAATGGCCAATGAAAATGTTTGTTTCATAAATGATTGAATTATTCTTCCAGGTAATTAGTTACATTGATGATGGTGACGATGTTTCTGTAAGTGTTATTTGGTATCATTTCAGATGAAATAACAACACTTAGGCACATGGTATGGATCATAGGGGCCCTGTTGTTACTTTTGATTATGTTCTTTATCGCCAAATATGCACGCCTCGCTTGGAAACGCACCCGAGACAAACAGTCAGGTGAATATAGGAAATGTTACTTACCTGCCCGTAGTGACGACCACTCCATAGACGTCAGTGTTGAGCGTTTAGACCCAACTGCTCCACCACAGAGTCAGGACATGCCCAGACAGCCACAATTTACCGGTAAATTACGTTTGAGATTTAATCTGCGGTTTCAAATTTTAATGAAACATATCCGGTTTCCTTTAGAAATTTCTAAGAAATATGGGTTTTTATATATGGCATACTAAACTTAATGTTTTTAATTTCAAAATGTTACTACATATTATACAGTATTCTTCACATCTAAATTGCTTATTGCTTAAGAATAACAATCAAGTTGGCGATGAAACGCCCTCAATAGACATTGTGTTTACGCATGATTGGTTTGAAACTACCAGGGCGTACGTGTTGTAAAGCAGCGTGACGTTCTGTCTGATCAATGTATATTATGTGCTTCTATTGAAAGACAAGTGAGTATTTTTTCGAAGTTTGTTAGTTTTCAAATACTTTTTTTCTGATTTTGATACTCTAACCTTGCAGATTCGTCTGTCAGTGTATACCAGCCATCATCTCAACAGACCGATAACTAACTAGATATGGAAACTAAAGAGTTCTGCCTGAAACCATATCAGACTGACCTCACACTTCTCGAATAGAGATTTCCCACTCCTAAACGGGACTGACAAGACAATTGTTGAAATATCAGACAATAACATAAACGTGACAATATTTCTGCGATGATTTTGATCAATTTTACGGCTTAAGAATCGTACCCCATCTGTGATATTTTGAATTGTGTCGTATAGAGTTACTGCCTCAGAGATCAAAAGTTTGACTAGATAATTTCAACATGTCACTGGTATATGATACAAGTATAGTGTACACTTAGACTGCGTTTTGTTCGTGCCGTTAACGTTTTTAGTTCTAAAATGTACCGTGACAATAGAGATACAAACTCACTGCAAAAAGCTTAAATGAGACACGAAAAACAATAGTTATTCCGTAGTATCAACTGCTATTGTTTTCCTAATATGGTAATTACTTCATCTTGGGTGGCAGGAAACAGTTAGGTTGCATTTTTCCTGAAATTATTGGTCATGTTTGAGGTATACAGATATAGCAGTTTGGTTATGGAAAAAAAATCATCATTACATGTATATATATCTATAAACTGCATAACAATTACACTTTGTACATTAATAGTAGAGAGATAAAATTTGTGTCAATCAAAATTTCCTTTGATTTCTGACATGTGATTGCCATGGTTACTTACTGAAAAAAATGCTAAAAATGCAAAAATACTGCTAATTCCAACCTAACACTACAACTTTATACAAGAAATTTATTTTTAAACACCCATCTTAAAATCAACAAGACTTTCATTACAACAAAGTACTTACATTTCAGCAAATTCCAACTTGGAAATCCTTCATAACATGACCACATGTAAACACTATGAAAATTTCACTTCCTGTAGAGCTGGTATTTGGTGCGTAGACACAGATTCGAGACTGCCAAAATAGTATTCTCTAACACAAAGCTAAGATATCATTCTGAAAAAAATGAAACCCCACATTCCCCACTTCAACATGACAAGACCAATTTTTTTCAATTTTAATTAAAACCTTTATAATGGGGTAATCTAATGAACCATGACCACACCGAGAAACTGTGTACTGCTACCACGGCTACATACTCACTAGCATTACGTATATATGAAATCTTATTTCGTTAAAAACTGAAGAAAAAAACTTCACATATGGTGGATAAAATAAGAAGTAGTGTGCCGAAACCATACATGCTGGAACAAGTTTACATTTTGCTGAATGATTTTGTAAATCAACATACACTAGTGATTCTATGAAATTTTAATTGATACACAATGGTATATACACAAAATATACAGAAGAGCAGTAAAGGTTTGGTGCTGACTCAGTTTGGTTTTGTGTTTCGCTATCATATCACGATAAGCCCTTTGTAACTACACATATGGTTTTTACTACTTTTTAGTAGTCACTGTGATTACTGCTTAGTACAATGTATTACACTTGCATGTAATTTCTCAGATGATACAAAATATTTGTGTTCAGATTTTCAAATGTTGTAAGCATGTGTGCCAAATAAATTTATCAATTTAAACAATAAAGCATGTGAAATTGAATCACCATCTACAATGAAAATGTTTACTTTGACGATGTTATTATGAAAGACTTCACGACATTGTGTGTCGCGAATATTGTGTAAATATTTATTATGTACTCTATGTACATGTGTCTTTGTTGGGAGAATACCGTACATTTTCACGTCAACTTCGTGTTTTAGGATCACTTCAGAAAATTTGATTGAACAGCTTAGGCCATATGCCGTCGTGGTAGTGAGATATGTGAGGACATTTAATGATACAACTGCAAAAAATAATCAGAACGGACGTCATAGGATATCAACAACTTATGTCAGGGGACGGTATAACAACTAAGGTCATGGGACGATAAAACAACTAAGGTCATGGGACGGACGATATAACAACTAAGGTCGTGGGACGATATAACAACTAAGGTCATGAGACGATATAACAACTAAGGTCATGGGGCGGTATAACAACTAAGGTCTTGGGACGATATAACAACTAAGGTCATGAGACGATATAACTACTAAGGTCATGGGGCGGTATAACAACTAAGGTCTTGGGACGATATAACAACTAAGGTCATGAGACGATATAACTACTAAGGTCATGGGGCGGTATAACAACTAAGGTCATAGGACGATATAACCACTAAGGTCATGGGACGGTATAACAACTAAGGCCATAGGACGATATAACCACTAAGGTCATGGGACGGTATAACAACTAAGGTCATGGGAACGATATAACCACTAAGGTCATGGGACGGACGTTATAACAACTAAGGCCATGGGACGGACGATATAACAACTAAGGTCATGGGGCGGTATAACAACTTAGATCATGGGACGATATAACAACTAAGGTCACGGGACGATATAACAACTAAGGTCATGGGACTGACGATATAACAACTAAGGTCATGGGACGATATAACCACTAAGGTCATTGGACGATATAACAACTAACGTCATGGGACGATATAACAACTAACGTCATGGGACAGACGATATAACAACTAAGGTCATGGGACGATGTAACCACTAAGGTCATGGGGCGGTATAACAACTAAGATCATGGGACGATATAACAACTAAGGTCACGGGACGATATAACAACTAAGGTCATGGGACGATATAACAACTAAGGTCATGGGACGGACGATATAACAACTAAGGTCATGGGACGATATAACAACTAAGGTCATGGGACGATATAACAACTATGATCATGTGACGGACGATATAACAACTAAGGTCATGGGACGATATAACCACTAAGGTCATGGGACGATATAACAACTAAGGTCATGGGACGGACGATATAACAACTAAGGTCATGGGACGATATAACCACTAAGGTCATGGGACGATATAACAACTAAGGTCATTGGACGATATAACAACTAAGTTCATGGGACGGACGATATAACAACTAAGGTCATGGGGGACGATATAACAACTAAGGTCATGGGACGATATAACAACTAAGGTCATGGGACGATATAACAACTAAGGTCATTGGACGATATAACAACTAAGTTCATGGGACGGACGATATAACAACTAAGGTAATGGGACGGTCGGTATAACAACTAAGGTCATGGGACGATATAACAACTAAGGTCATGACGGACGATATAACAACTAAGGTCATGGGACGATATAACAACTAAGGTCATGGGACGATATAACAACTAAGGTCATGGGTAACGGACGATATAACAACTAAGGTCATGGGGGACGATATAACAACTAAGGTCATAGGACGATATAATAACTAAGGTCATGGGACGGACGATATAACAACTAAGTTCATGGGACGGACGGTATAACAACTAAGGTCATCAGACGATATAATCACATAACCACTAAGGTCATGGGACGATATAACAACTAAGGTCATGGGACGATATAACAACTATGGTCATGTGACGGACGATATAACAACTAAGGTCATGGGACGATATAACAACTAAGGTCATTGGACGATATAACAACTAAGTTCATGGGACGGACGATATAACAACTAAGGTAATGGGACGGACGGTATAACAACTAAGGTCATGGGACGAACGATATAACAACTAAGGTCATGGGACGGACGATATAACAACTTAGGTCATGGGACGATATAACCACTAAGGTCATGGGGCGGTATAACAACTAAGGTCATGGGACGGACGGTATAACAACTAAGGTCATGGGACGATATAACAACTAAGGTCATGGGACGATATAAAACTAAGGTCATCATAACAACTAAGGACGGACGGTATAACAACTAAGGTCATGGGACGGACGGTATAACAACTAAGGTCATGGGACGATATAACAACTAAGGTCATGGGACGGACAGTATAACAACTAAGGTCATGGGACGGACAGTATAACAACTAAGGTCATGGGACGGTATAACAACTAAGGTCATGGGACGATATAACAACTAAGGTCATGGAGCGGTATAACAACTAAAGTCATGGGACGATATAACAACTAAGGTCATGGGACGGACAGTATAACAACTAAGGTCATGGGACGATATAACAACTAAGGTCATGGGACGATATAACAACTAAGGTCAAGGGAAGATATAACAAGTAAGGTCATGGGACGGACGGTATAACAACTAAGGTATATAACAACTAAGGTCATGGGACGGTATAACAACTAAGGTCATGTGACGATATAACAACTAAGGTCATGGGACGGACGGTATAACAACTAAGGTCATGGGACGATATAACAACTAAGGTCATGGGACGGACGATATAACAACTAAGGTCATGGGACGATATAACTACTAAGGTCATGGGACGATATAACAACTAAGGTCATGGGGCGGTATAACCACTAAGGTCATGGGACGTATAACAACTAAGGTCGATATAACAACTAAGGTCATGGGACGGACGATATAACAACTAAGTTCATGGGACGGACGGTATAACAACTAAGGTCATCAGACGATACTAAGGTAATGGGACGGTCGGTATAACAACTAAGGTCATGGGACGAACGATATAACAACTATGGTCATGGGACGGACGATATAACAACTAAGGTAATGGGACGGTCGGTATAACAACTAAGGTCATGGAACGAACGATATAACAACTAAGGTCATCAGACGATATAAGCACTAAGGTCATGGGGCGGTATAACAACTAAGGTCATGGGACGGACGGTATAACAACTAAATATAACAACTAAGGTCATGGGACGGACGATATAACAACTAAGGTCATGGGACGATATAACAACTAAGGTCATGGGACGATATAACAACTAAGGTCATGGGACCAACGGTATAACAACTAAGGTCATGGAACGAACGATATAACAACTAAGGTATAAGGTCATGGGAACGATATAACAACGATATAACAACTAAGGTCATCAGACGATATAAGCACTAAGGTCATGGGGCGGTATAACAACTAAGGTCATGGGACGGACGGTATAACAACTAAAGTCATGGGATGATATAACAAATAAGGTCATGGGACCAACGGTATAACAACTAAGGTCATGGAACGGATCGTATAACAACTAAAGTCATGGGACGATATAACAACTAAGGTCATGGGACGGACAGTATAACAACTAAGGTCATGGGACGATATAACAACTAAGGTCGTGGGACGATATAACAACTAAGGTCATGGGACGATATAACAACTTAGGTCATGGGACAATATAACCACGAAGGTCATGGAGCGGTATAACAACTAAAGTCATGGGATGATATAACAAATAAGGTCATGGGACCAACGGTATAACAACTAAGGTCATGGAACGGATCGTATAACAACTAAAGTCATGGGACGATATAACAACTAAGGTCATGGGACGGACAGTATAACAACTAAGGTCATGGGACGATATAACAACTAAGGTCATGGGACGATATAACAACTAAGGTCATGGGGCGGTATAACAACTAAGATCATGGGACGATATAACAACTAAGGTCATGGAACGGACAGTATAACAACTAAGGTCATGGGACGGACAGTATAACAACTAAGGTCATGGGATGATATAACAATTAAGGTCATGGGACGGACGGTATAACAACTAAGGTCATGTGACGATATAACAACTAAGGTCATGGGACGGACGGTATAACAACTAAGGTCATGGGACGATATAACAACTAAGGTCATGGGACGATATAACAACTAAGGTCATGGGACAATATAACCACGAAGGTCATGGAGCGGTATAACAACTAAGGTCATGGGACGATATAACAACTAAGGTCATGGGGCGGTATAACCACTAAGGTCATGGGACGGATCGTATAACAACTAAGGTCATAGGACGATATAATAACTAAGGTCATGGGACGGACGATATAACAACTAAGTTCATGGGACGGACGGTATAACAACTAAGGTCATGTGACGGTATAATTAAGATCATGATACGACGTAAATTGAACAATCGCTAAAGTCTTAACTAGGCTGCATATCCACACTCTAAACAACATTTTAATTTTCAATGGAATATATAGCTTTTATTTCCCGTCTGTGTTATTTTCCTTTCTAAAATAGCAAGAAAAAAGAACGCGAAATAATTTTAATTAGCTTTTGAAGCAGAGAAAATCACTAAAATAGTATAGTTAGAGAGAAACTACTCACAACTATGACCATAGCCACATCATATTAGACAGTAGATGTTTAAATGGCGACACTTTTTCCTATATTCCAGATAATCCCAGCAGGTGTCGATTACGTACATATCATAACCGTATTTTCTGAAGGAAACATTTTTGAACTGCTCAAAGACGATATAAGAGTTAGGAACATTCCAAAGAGCAAAGTATGATAAAAGCTATCTTCGTAAATGTTTCTGTTTAGTATTATCTTTTCAAACAATACATTTCGTTATTATACATCTACAAGATATGATGTATATTTCTTCTGCACGTGCATGCGCGAGCTAACACAGCACATACTTTCATCTGGCTTTAGAGAATGTCGCTACAATCGGCGAGGTCTTCCCCACTGTAGTGTTGTTAACTCTCCGTGCCATAAATACATATATACATCCCGCGTGTTGTGGTATCGTATCTCACGCAGCCCGGGATACAGGAATGCTACACCTCCCTGTGTGCGTGACGTCGTTGATTCGTTAGAGAGGTCTGGTCGCTCGTGTCTTGTGTTCGACTAGCTCTATAGGTAAGTCAGCATTTCATTCACTTGCAGTTTTTTTAATTTAAATAATAGTACTACATTTCATAATTTGCAGGATGCGATAAAAATGACGGTATGTCCTTTGATTATATTCAACATGTTCCGTTAAGACGTACTCTAATAAGGGATTTACAGCTATATATCATTACTTGTGACATAGATTAGCGGTACCTTTGTATCTACACGCTATCATGCACGTGCGTCATGAGATCTAACTCTACACCTATCCATAAAATATTAAGCAATACTGTAGTGGCAAATTAATAACTGTGTTCTGTATGATTTATATACCATCTTTTTTTTACGCTGGACTAACAACTTCCTTTTTTTCTTTTCTTTTTTAATTGTTGTTGTTCAAAGTTCAGAGGTCGATATTGCTACGCTCTAACTTGACAATTTTGTAAACACTATTGATGTCAGGCCAAAATATTTCACGTGAAAGCCCCCCGGGGAACTAGCCATCGCTGCAGATACATCCACGAGCTTTACAAGATAATTTAAGTACCTTGTGGTACCCATTACCCTACTTTTTGATTCGAATTAGTGTCTCTAGTGTTTCCCTTAAGCAAGGTAGAAGGGGTGCAACAATAAACCGGAAATAGTTGATGACCACAACGATGACCCTAACCTTTGTATTCGGTCCAACCCAGGCGGACAATGTCTCCATGAACAGCTATCACTATGTTGTGCTAAACACGAACATTTTACATCGTTTCAACATGCTCTAATTTCATATTCTACGAAAGGTGTTTAGCCGACTCATTAATTCAAGGTCGTTTGTGACATAACAGCTGGATTCGGTACCAGTTGTGTTCTAGATGTGTTGCAGGCAATAGACAGTGTGATGTTGTTGGTTTGTGTACATAAACACCTTCACTTTTTCAAGTTTTCCATACTTTTTATCGTGGTTCGTCTAGTGTTAGATATTGTTAAAACTTATATCATAGTTGCAGATATTATGGGGAGATAACACGATATCTTGCTTCTATGGACACGTTACCGATCAAATATTTGCCCCAACAAGTGTATATAGACCAGATAAGTTTCCACACGTGAAGTCGATTACCCATCTAACCTTTGCTTCTCCTCCCTCCCACCGCCATTTTCGTTACTGCAGTGCGCCATCAGTGTACATCATGTTCTGGTTGTCATGACAACACGTGGTATTGTTTAGTACTTGGTCTGAACGGGTGCCTATTTTCTAGATATTACTGTACCTCATGTCAGAATAGTCTATTATTATACAAAGTACTGCCAATCATATTGGATTCCCACGGATATTTTATTGAGGGTAAGTCGAATCGTAGATACAAAATAGTCTTTAAGATAATTTTATTGACTTTCGGCGACTTTGGATGACAGAGGACATGAGTCAGTGTATCGGGGTCAAATTAGCTTCAGAACTTCTAAGACGCGTCTATACGGTAGAGCATTTAACAGTAAAACAGTTACCAAATATATCGAGTAACCTTGTAGGGCGAGTTCAAGATTCAGGTGGTAAGTGGCAATGAGTTAAAATATAGGTCAGTGCGACTCAATAAGAAGCATTATGTCTATGACGAGTCACGGGGACAGTCGATAAGTTGAGTGAGGTGATCAAAATCAAGTGCGAGTAACAGGGACGAGGGTTGAGGAGGCTGAGTCGGGAGCCAACAACACCTCCAGGTCAAAGTTCAAGGTTTTATTACCTTAAGTAATTTGACTTATCGGATACAGGAAAGTAACAACATAAAACATTTATAACAATATACAAACACATGATTAGAGACACAATACAGGCCCGGAGAGAACAAACTATTGGCTCAACTGATCTCTGAAAACGTAAGCAGCCTTGCTATATTCAGACAAATTTTGTAATTTCTTCCTTTTTTTTACATTAAAAAGTTATATTAGTTTAAACATATAAGGTTGTATTTTATACTAGTACTTTTTCAAAAATTTCTTTCTCGGGTCCGTATAACAAGGACATTTCAGCATAAAAAGAAACTCAACTTCAGCATCATCTACATCACAAATGATACATACTCGTAAATTACTTGGCATCTTTTAATATTGGCCCTTTTCTACTTTTTAATTATGAGATGAATGTCTAATTTTTGTAATTTCTTTCAAATAATCCCAAGGCATTGTTTTTTTTCAAAAAGCCTTGTAAATCGGGTTCATTATGAAGATAGGTATACATATGTCCTTTTGACGAAGTTCTAATTTTTCTTTTTACTGTTATATTTGTAATGTATCAAATAGTCTTTTCTGATTATAATTTACTGTGTGTCTACATTGTTTTCTGTTTCCCAAATATAGCATGAACCTAGTCAACACAATTCGTTTTTGATGTTTAAAACCCATTTATCATTTCTTCATAGCATGATTTTGATATACAATATTCAGTCTATCTAATTTCATCCAACATTAAATCCAATGATAAATAGACCATACCACTACACGTGTTTTTCCGAACTCCCAATAATCTTTTACAAAACATCGTGTGAATTTTTTCAACCTCAGGTGTTTTATGAAAGCACCATATTTCGGACCCATAACTTAGAATACTATTAACGTATTATCGAAAACCGATAACTGGACTTCATTTTAGAATAATTTATGACACACGTTTAAAAATGCAAAGAAAGCTTTTCGTCCTTGCTCAGCGATTTTTTGTTCAATTTTGTGATCCCAGGATACCTTGTAGTTAGGGTGAATTACGTGGACGGTCTCAGGATGGTGAGAATATGAAGAAATAAATAACTGTGGCAAGTGTGTATTGGGGTGAAAAAATTAGCAAAGCAGACGTCACTTGAAATCATTGGGGAGAGGGGGCTGTGGGGTCGGAAACTGACGTCACGTGGTCCTTATCGAGACAGAGAGGGTGAATCAAGGGGACAGAGGACTAATGAGTGATGTAAGGCGGGGGTAGATGAGCGAGTGTGGGAAACAGTGGTAGCAATGGTTTCAGCTGTGAGAGTTGTGCGAAGAGCAAGGATCATGTACCTTTAAAACTAGTTAAGATAATGTAGGAATGACGAGACCACGTACACCGTGTGATATTTAATGAGGCGACAAATTTTTCCGGCGACGAGGGAAATTCAAAAGAGTTTTTTTTCGACCACCTGCTTGTAGTACATCTATGTTTATGATTTTATTGGGAATTTATCAGAACTGATAACCTTTTCTTCAATATCCTGTATTTTTTTGAGTATCAGATGATATGTATTCCTATGTTTATTTTTACGTCCGTATATAATATAAACTTTCTGTAATATGCTATAAAATTATGTAGCTGGGGTATAAACTAACTACACTGCAATTTGTCACGTATACATCAATATCAAGAGATGTTTTATGTCGTAGATTTACAGTCAGATAGTCTGTAATGTTTAGCATATCGTGCCAAATTTCTGGTAAAATGATGAGCAATCCATAAGAACAGCATCTATACGCCCTGCAGAACCAGTGTGGTAATATATTTTATGATTGAATGTATTGCTGTGTTCATCATTCAAAACACTTCAGCGATTCGCAGGAGTGTAAAGAGGTCTTTATAACTTTCCATGTGCTGGATGTCCTTGACCTTTAAAGTTCCCGATTCGGGTTATATCACTCATAACGCATACCGGTGCTTTTGACGGTCAGCTTGGCCATCTCTCATGTACAGGTATCATAGGTATTTGATCCGACCGCAGAGAGGGAGGCCAGCTGTACATCATATCAATTCATAGATTACAATGAATACCTCGATAAGAGTGTATATGTGATGGAATTATATGACCAAGAAGATAATATATAGCATATGGTGAAATAATACCACGCACAAGATAATATTAGATGTAGTGGTGGAACAACATCGCCAACAAGACAATATCTAGAGTAGTGCTGAAATAATACCACCCACAAGATAATATTCAGTGTAATGGTGGAACAAAACCTCCACGAGATAATATCTAGTGTAGTGGGGATTAATACCACCCACAGGATAATATTTAGTGTAAGGTGGAACGATAGGACCCACAAGATAATATTAAGTGTAATGGTGGAACAAAACCTCCACGAGATAATATCTAGTGTAGTGGGGATTAATACCACCCACAAGATAATATTTAGTGTAAGGTGGAACGATAGGACCAACAAGATAATATTTAGTGTAAGGTGGAACGATAGGACCCACAAGATAATATTTCGTGTAAGGTGGAACAATAGGACCCTCAAGACAATATTTAGTGTAAGGTGGAACGATAGGACCCACAAGACAATATTTAGTGTAAGGTGGAACGATAGGACCCTCAAGACAATATTTAGAGTAAGGTGGAACGATAGGACCCTCAAGACAATATTTAGTGTAAGGTGGAACGATAGGACCCCCAAGACAATATTTAGTGTAAGATGGAACGATAGGACCCTCAAGACAATATTTAGTGTAAAGTGGAACGATAGGACCCTCAAGATGATATTTAGTGTAAGGTGGAACGATAGGGCCCTCAAGATAATATTTAGTGTAAGGTGGAACGATAGGACCCACAAGACAATATTTAGTGTAAGATGGAACGATAGGTCCCTCAAGACAATATTTAGAGTAAGGTGGAACGCTAGGACCCTCAAGATAATATTTAGTGTAAGGTGGAACGATAGGACCCGCAAGATAATATTTAGTGGAATTTAAAGTGTTGTTCAGAAATACCGTCCAAAAACCAACATATAGTTCGTGGTTGAATGATAACATTCACAAGATAAAATGTTTAGTGCGTTGTGGGAAATGCCTGTAAAATATTAGGTGGAAAATATAGCATCCACAATATAATGTAGTGTTTCGATACCATCCCCTAGACAATATATAGTTTGTTAGTTTGGGGAACGTGTGAGGAAGGTTTTGTTGTGATTGGACAATGATAGAGAATGTATCAACAATTGACAGTAGAATCATGTGGGTGACCATGGAGTTGGGCTAATCTAGTCACACACGTATCTCTTGTTCCATGTTAATGTGCCACGTC